GGGCGTCCACCCCACCGCGGGGGTGGCGTGAACCAAGGGGGTGGGAGGGAGCTGCAAGGGAGGGGAGCAGATAGCTCTCGTCTCCCGCCCCCGCCACCCCCCATCCCATACCGCCAGAGTTATCCCCCGGCGAGGCATCCCAGCCCGGCCCGAGCCCGGCCCCGCCGCCGGCGCGCCGTGTGTGCGGGGCGCGGCGGCTGCAGGTGCACGACAGCCGTCACGCACTTGCCGCTCTTAACGCCACGCCACCTGCTGCCTGTCACGGCCGCCCTTATCTCCTGTCCACATCAAATCAGACCCCCTCCCCCAACACACACTTTCTCTCCCTCCCCTCACCTCCCTGCGCCCCAGCGCCCGCCCAAATACCCCCTCTCCACACACTTTTCTGTCGTACTAGTTAATTTCTGCACCCCCTTCCCCCCTTCTTCAATCACCCTGCTACTGGTAAAACAAAGGCATGCCCACACCACGTCGTTCAAATTTCATGCGTGTCTGTGTGGCGTGGCGGGGAACCACCGCTATACTCATTTTAAATTACTGCCCGCGCTATGTATGTATGTGTACGAAAAAACAGGAGCCAGAAACCGCAAAAAAGAGAGAGAACGGCGATACTACATGCTACAGTAAATGTTTCACAAAAGAAGACTTCTGAACTGAATAACATGTTTTCCGTAGATTCACTACGGGTTACATAACATACAGGGGTCTTTGAAAAATGAATTGCCTATCTATCAAGCGGCTCGGCAGAGGCGACAAAGTCCGGGGAAGTGGCAGCAAACGCGTCCTTTGCCTATTCTATCATATTGTACTAAAACTTTCGTGCGACGACTCGCCCTGCCAGCCAGGATTATTGGACATGATCATAGAGATCATTCTCCTCCCCGCACCGCGCACGTGCGCACAAACATACACGCGAGGGGGCTTGCATCCACCCCCACCCCTCCCTCTCTCCGCCACATGCCTCATCCCCTTCCCCCTCCGAGCAAAGATTTATTCCCTCGCGATTCCTCAGGTCCCACCGTCGTACATGTATTACGGGTGGGGGGCATTTGACGGCTTGTGAGCGATGTTCGCGTATAGTCAATATCTTACAGTGGTGAGGCATGGGACGCGAATGGGAAGGGGGGAGGGGTCAGATAGGTTGGGGAGAAGGGCGCCACATTGGGGAGAGGGAGGGGGGAGGGGAAGGGTGGGCAGCCCGGGGCGCCGATAAATCCGGGTCGTCCTGTTTTATAAGGCCAGCAGGCAGAGCCGGGGTTGGAGGACGCGCGGCTGGTACCACCGAAATGTGATACGAGCAGTCCACTGCGACCTCGCTGCGATATTACAAAGCAGAGCCATTCTTTTCGCGTCATATTTTAAACTGCCAGTGTTTATTATCATTTCTGTTTCCCTTTTGAAAGTAAAGGCTGAGGGGGGAAAGGGCGACGAGCAAACAGCGAATGGAACTCCATTGAAAATGCAAACAATGTTGGTATTTTTTATAATATTTTATGAGAGGCTTAAATCAGTCATTAGTCCAACCTTAAACTCAGAATGCAAACAGCTCCAACGTGAAGAGGGAGCTCTGTGTCCGACAAACATATGTTTCGACTTATGCCCCAGGATCCATTGATTAGATTACGAAATTCATTGTTCTTGTTGATAAAGGTGAGACCGGCCTGATCGTACAGTATTTTGTTCACTTGATCAAATGTTAAGTTGGCTTCGGGGAGAAATTCTCATTGATCCAACATTTTTTGGTTAAGACAAAACGCTTTTCTCAGTGGGTGGCAGAAAACTCCGCACTTAGTCAACATCAACAAATAAAGAATTTAACGGAAGAGCTGAACACCTAGAAGCGCCGAACAGTGCGTAAAACTTGCACAGGCATTTTGGCATATTCAACTTGCACCCGCACATGTGCGTTGTACACTAGTGTACAACAGTTTAACAGTCGTGTGAATTATTTAGCACCGTCCAGTAGGTCGTCAGAACAACACCTGCTTTCGAGCTGTTATAATGGATAAATAGAGCATACGCAGCAAATGTGGACAGTGAGTTCCATGGTTAATGCTTCAAGCGCGAGGAGCGCATGTGTCATCTTGCTCTGCTCTATACGCTGAGGTAATTGACTGATCAGCCCACTGCAAACAGCGTACCAGGCTCACTCGCTGCATGATTCATGCCGCGAGAGTGAGAGAGGATGAAGATAGGGGAAGGGTGTAGGGGCAGAAAAGAGAGAGAGAGGGGGAGAGGAGAGAGGTCCATGTCATGTTTGATATCGCAACGCCCGTTCGTCGGAAGCGACACAGAATGACATGTGTGGGGCAGTTAGGATGTTAGAGAGAGACAGAGAGGGGGGAGGGCGGTGAATTTGGGCGCCAGGGAGGACGAGGTGGTCCACTGGTGCACCTCACCACTCATATATGACACGGTTCACCTCCACATAGTCTAGCTAAATTGGTCGGTGAGCAGGGATGAAGGCATTCATGGTTTTCGGGAGCACTACACGAAAACAAACTTAAAAACAAAACCAGTGTCTGAAATCAGACAGTTTGCAACCTTATTGTTAGATGTGGTTTATCGCAAGGAAAAGAAAAGAAAATTGTTTGTTGAGACAGCTAGTTGGTATTGTGATAACTTAAATTTTTTGTTGAGGTTATAAAGTTTCTGCTGTCGTAAGTGTGTTGCGGCCTCCTGTTACGTCTGCCAAACTCAAAGACTGAATCAACGAAACCAATCCGATGGTGGCCTAGCAGCTCATCTGTGGCACTATGGTTATGACACGCACGGACATAATTTAGCTGCCCGGAAATCAACTAAACTCTTTGATGTCCCAACTATTCCCTTTTCTCCGTGCACAAAAGGCGCGTTATTGTATAACCTCTACGGTTGAAAAAGTGAGGGTTATGAATTTGCATACTCTAGTAATAGTATTCTAGTAATACTGTAATCATATCCAAAGTCGCTACAGCAACTCTTAATGCAGATTTGCGACGGGGATGCGCAGTGGGCGTGGCACGGCGTGGCCCACATCCCGACATTCCCTGCTGCGCCGCGCTGCCGCGCTGCGCCGCTGTATCGGCTGCTGCGCTGCAGCAGGACTTGCTCCACTGATCCTCTCGCCCGCTGGATAAGAACCGAGCGTTCGTGCAGAGACTCCTCGACTCATTGGGCGAGGCGGGAGGGATGGGCCGCAGCCCTGCCGCTAGAGTTTGCTCCACTCCACTCCCACCCCCCAAGATATGCTGGTGTAGTTTGTAATTCTGGAACTGGCTCAGAGCAGCGAGAGCTGGCGGCGCCACCCCCGCCCCGCGCGTCCCGGGACGAGGACGCGGATCTGAACGGAATAAGGAGAGCTAGTGAGGGCGAGATAGTGGGGGACTGTTTTAATATTAGGCGCACGGCCTGCAGATTAGCTCATCCTAAATGAAGTCCCGCGTACTTCTGTCACGGACCTTCACCACTGCCTTGATATACGGAGCCACCGAGCCTTTTCCAACTGTAAGAGGCTGCTTAGATTTTGCATGTACATCAGCGTTTCCTGAAATGACCCGTGCAATATCCGAGCTTGAACCCAGGTATATTAAGAACTGACGACATAGTAATGCATGGACGCGCAGTTTAATGACATTCCTCGATTGAATGTATCCGTGTTCTCCTTTTGAATGACTGTGAGCCAACGACAAAAGTGAAATAACCGAATCTCATGCCACCCCATTCCATTTTCATTGTCAAATGCATATGCAATGAGCAGATCACTATCGTAAACAATAATAAGGATTTCAAAACAGACAAAAAAGATCTAGAATAACTTTTTTAGTGGCTTGTATGCTCTATTTAGAAGTAAATTCTACACACCATGCTACAAAAAATAGTCAAATAATATTTAATGGGGATCAAAATATTCGAAACGCATTTGGAGAAAAATAATGGTTTTCCAAAAGACACACTAATATTATTATTCAAAATATCAGTGATTGTACTAAAAATCTGCTTTGGCTTCTTTACCCAGTCCTAAATTAAGTTTGATGGGTATTTGTGTCACTGAAAGGTAACCTGCTAGCCCCTGAAAGTGAATTCTTTGTTTTTGCAGAAGCACCTTAAATTATGGGTCTCCAAAGAGAGTTTCAGCGACACATACTATAATTATAATAACGTTTGCAATGACCAGCAGAATAAGTAAACGAGTAGCTAGTTGCTCAGGCTGAACGGCCAGGCTCTTTCGCCACGCAGTCCTAAGAATACTTGGCTTTTCAAATCGAATAAACAACGGCAGTAGCGCCCCTTCTGCGTGGCAGCGCTCAGCGCTATCTTCTCATCCCCCTTTTACGAGCAAGTTATCACCTCATTTTCTTTCGCTCAGCCCAGCCAGCTGAGCTTTCGCCCTCGGCTCTTGGCGGCTGGCCGGGCTACTCCACCCCGAACTAGGTTTGGGCTCCAACGGTCCCCGCAAGGAAAAGCAAAAGCCATCCATCAAGCCCCCCAAAATACTATCGAGGTAGCGAGAATGAGAGGTCTTCTTCTTCCTTGGCGATAAGACACTGTTGTTGAGAAAAAGGAGAGTAGTCAGAGGATAATTACTAGTCGAGTGATAGAGTGCCGTGGGCAGTCACATTGGCTCATCTAGCCGCTTTTCTGAAAAGCGATACCCCTAGAATAGGAAGCAGTGATGGGTTTAGACCCTAAACGTACCACTGCAGTGGCTAATTTCCAGATCGACTCTTGAAATCCTAGGATCTGCCTAGCAACCAATTGCTTCGAAGGAAAAGTCTTGGAATTTTGGTCTGATATGCAAGGGGTTGCCTTGGATTACTAGACGAAAATTCCTAGTCTTTTCCTTTGAAACAAATGGTTTCAAGGCAGATAATAGGATTTCAAGGGCCGATCTGGAAATTATCCACCCGTCCTTGAAATACACGAAATAGTCTTGAAATCCAAGAAAATCTTTTTACCGCGTGCTTCCTAATTAGTAATTTAGGACTGGATGAATTTTCCAGGCTTGAATGTGTACTCACCTAGCACACCCAATCGGTAGTTGACTGTGACGACAACCACCCCACCGTACGATGCTAGCACGCTGCCATCATAGACATTCCCGGAGTTCCACTCGTACGATTCGCCATGGATGAAAACGATGACTGGCGCCAGACGCACGTTCTCCCGGGTTCCCACTGAAAATCAGAAAAACCATGTATAAGTTGTTACGATGGACACAAGACAAAGAAGTGATCAAGACGTAGGGAAGAAAGAATACCAATGAAAAATTATGTTGAATCTGTTTTGTTTCGCTTTCGTCTAACAAGTTGATTTACTCATACAGTCGGGATGCATTTACGTATGGTTCCCTAGTAATTTACTTCTTAATGGGTAAGTTTCAGTTTTTCTAACTGTATGGAACTGCCATAATATAAATCCATAGCCGAAACGAATCCAGCGGCAAGGGAAACGCACACAATAGCCTGCGTTTACGTCTCGATTCTCACACAGCTGCAGCAGTTTCGACGAAAGCTGAAAGCAGCAGCCGATCGCAAACTTCGCGGGCGCGCGCAGCAGTTAGCGGGACTTCCCCTCCGGGAAACACCACCTATGCCAACTATAAAGATGGAGGAAAATAAATTTGCTGCCGTCGCGCCGCGCGCGCCGACTTGCAGAGGACGAGACGAGGGGAGGGGTGAGTGGGGAGACTTTGTACGGAAATCACTCCGTAAAGTTTGCCCACCCGCGCGCCTTACGAGCCAGCAGCCCGGCCCCGCCCCGGCCACCCCCTTGAAGGCCGAGCTGCGCCGGGCTGCGCCGGGCTGCGGCGGCCCGAGGCGGGCGGAACATTTTCAATGCCTGCCGCGACCACCGCTGCGGGGAGTTCCCTTGATTTATGCCCAGACGCTGTTCGGACGTAGTTAGGCCAGAGACAGCCTAGTCGGGAGGTTCAGGCGGGCTGCCTGCGACCTGCCGGGCCCAAAGACCGGCCTGCCCTAGTGCAGCATCTGGGCCAGTAATTTCGCCGAAGACAGAGCAAAAACGAGGGGCTCAGACCGTGAAACAATACAACTCGTTACAGCGAGTAAGTAGTTTGTCGCCCAGACTCCGCCTCGGCTCTCCTGCCTCGCCCCCATCCTCGGCCCCTCTGCACACACGAATTACAAGAACGGGAGTACAAAGCCGCATGCTTCCAATACCAGAGCTACGGCGCCAGGACAAAAAGTTAGGTTTACGCTTAAGAGATGTCAGCGATAATTGCGCAGGCGTGAAGTATGCAGTTAATTCTTTCTTACAAAACAGTAGCTAAAACTTTTTCACGTTTGACGAAGACAATTCCGTCACGAAAGTTGACCTAGGCAGGAACGCAAACAACGCACTTGCTTCTACTCCGAAAAAGCACACTGTTAAAAATAACTGTCACCTAACGACTTACTGCCTGATTGACTTTCCTGTAATGTAACAGAAATGTTCTTTTCATTTGAACACTCTCGAAACTTGTGATATTCGGCCCATAGTGGCCCACAACAAAAACTACTACGTATAACTTTGCTGTACATTTACAAGAAAAGAGAAGTTAATTTTGTTAGCAGCACATTTCGTTCCAAAACAGGACACTCGTATTATTACAATTTTTTTTACAGGAGCAAAACAAAGTAACTGATTTTGGTTGGAAACATTGTTTCCGACAATTTCATTAGCGCTGTTTTTTTAACAGTAAGGCCTGTAAAAATACAGTATATGCTGCTAACAAAATTAATCACATTTTCGCTGTAAATTTACAGCAATTTTTTTAACAGTGCATGTGTGTGAATGTCGCACACGTTTAGATGTGTGAATGCCCATTCGTACACTTACGGGAGGAAAGATGTAAATTTTCCTTTGAACTTCACTCGCTTGTGCCTCTAACGACGTTCACACACCAACAAGTGTGCGACATTCATACACTTGTCTTGCTGATGCACGCACGCTGTTCTTGTGTGTCTATGGCTGACTTTTGGGTTTTCAGAGTGGTCGAAAATGCACACTGCTCAGTTTCCAATGTAGTAACTTATAGATCTGCTGAGTTACAAACATTAAAATAAGCTGGTCAGCCAATGTTTACTCTTTTGACATTCATATTCCCCTGACTGAAGTTTTTCTCCTCTATAAATTTTTCATCCTCGGTCTTACTTAAAACTCCTGGCCCTTCAGCCAACCATACTGCCCCCAGTTTACTCGACCCAAGAAACCTGGGCCGACGGGCCAGTAAGTTCGTGTTTGCCCAGAGTTCCCCTAGTGCTTCCCATAACTGTCGTCCAGCTGTTTGCCTAAGATGTCAAGATATGCCGAGCTTATTACCGGTAGCAAGCTGCTTGGGCCTGGCCAGCCTGCTAAGTGGGGAGGCCATCGTAGATGGAGCAGCTAGAGGGTGCAAGAGAAAAACTGGAGAAGGGCCGCAAGAAAAATGTACTTTGGCGGAAAAAATTACTTGAGCGGGGGGTGACGACGTCGTTTCGAATACCACTGGTACATTAGAGAATAAAAAAGTATTACAGATTTTACCTCGGATTTTTCATGTCGCCGTCGACAAACATTCAGGGAAGAAAGGACTTGGTAATGGTCGGTATACTGCTGTATACACACACGGCACACGGCACACGAATAGTGCAGGCAAGGTGGATCTTTGAAGGTAAGGATCCCAGGGGTGCACAGAGGCCGCCAACTGAGGTGAGTTCCGTGCGATTCAGTCGACAGAGGAAGTGGTCACGGAGAGAATAGACACAAGAGAAAGGGGGCCGATTTAAAAGGGGAGCCGTCGCACAGCGCAAGAACGGTAGCTCCCGGAAAAAAAAGGAATTGTTCCTCCAACTAACGATTTTGATAACAGAAAACAGATAATTTTAATTTGCACGAGCAAACAAATTGCCACTGAAAACCTTTGAGTAGGGTGTCGAGCTCAAATTGAGTGAGACAATTTTGCCTCGCTCAATCAGAGCGATGACTGTTGATGACTATTTGAGTCATATGCACCGAATTCTAACTCTGAAGGAGTAAGATTTCCCTGACCTCGCCCAATTGCAGTGGGGAACATCACTCTCATAACATTTAAAAATATAATAGTTGTAATTTTACAGGTGAACATTTTACAGGCTTTTTGAAAACAAAACAACCCTATCCGTAAAACACGATTTTGGTTGGAACAGTAGTTTTACGAGGAATGTTGTAATTTATTGACACAGCTGTGAAATAAAGGTGGCACTGTAAAGTTACAGAAGGGCTGTAAAATTATCCTGATTTTTACAAATCCACAGGTTTTTGTGGGGAACTGCTTTGCAAAGTTAAGTCCCCACACGGAAAATAGACATCTATAGATGGTGGTAGATGGTCTACCGTTCGTCTATTCGGTCTAGAGACGTCTATAGACGTCAATAGAGCATCTAGAATACGTAAAAACTGTCTATATCTATGTATAGATATACTGTAGACATCGATAGATAGTCTTGAGGTTGTATATCGGATCTATGTATACTTCTGTCGATATGAAGATATCTATAGATCATCTGCCACCAGTCTACGACGTCTAGGTCTACTTTTAACCCAACGAATACGTCTAGTAGATATCTACCCAAAGTCTTGAAGATCTACGTCTTAAAACATGCAAGTTCTAGAAATCTATTGATAATCTTCCTACCATCTACCGAAAGACAATGAGGTCTAGGTAACTCTCCGAGTCATCTCTCATACACCGTCTAGAAGTAGACAATCTATAGATGTGCGTAGACGTCTAGACATCTCTGTAGAAGGATATCATCTTCCAACTCAGCTCCTCCTAGAAGCAACCGATGGGTGAGGGGTAGCGTTCGCGCTCTCGAACCCAAAGGTTGAGGGTTCTAATCCCAGCACTGGTGACATGTTCGAACGTCCAAAGCTAATCAAGGTGGATATAGAGCCATGAGGGAGTAGTCAGTTGGCTCGAGAACATGTCAAATTTTTATTTTTCTCGTAAAATACTCGTCTTTGGTTTGTCTATCAGTAGATATCTATTCAACATCGACAAAAAGACGTCTAATAGATGTTGTAAATGTAGACACTCGATCAATTGTAGACGTCTAGTAGTAGACACGATTATACATCTAATAGATCACTGGGGGTCTACAGAAAGATGCATATTAGACATCTAATAGACGTCTTTTTTCCGTGTGGGTCCGGGCTTAAATTTGTACACAGAATCCAAAAAAACGTCCTCAGATGAGGAAAAAACTCACGATAAATGCATGAGAAACACCCAAATTATCATACTGAAACGATAAAAAATTCATAATCTCCGAAAGATTTATATGACGAATTCGTTGTAGTCTGACAGCTGTTCTGTAATTTTACAACGCTACCTTGAAAACGTAAAAAAGTGTCAATGTTTTATGGGTTTCATGGTATTTCTACAACTGCGCTGTAAAAATGGTTTACGACACCACCTGCCCCAAAATTTAGCTAAACATTTCCTGTAAAATTGCAGAATTTTTTTAACAATATAGGTGAGGATCGGAAATTATGACGCAAATTGAGTGAAAGTTATGTAAGTCGCTCTTTGGAGAGTGATACTTTTGGTGTCACTGATCTCGTTCTCCTGAGAGCAAGATATCTGACTAAGACTTTCAGTGGCTATGGGAACCAATGTTTCTGCCTCTGCCACCACAACTTACACGTCGCTACGATAACAGATGAGGTTGTTGTGAGAAATAACCCTCATTTAGTACTCAGAAAAGTTGCATTGTTACTATAGCGTCGCGTTAGTTAAGGCAGCACAATTTTGCTTCTTATAGCAAATTGTTTGCTTCTGCACTTAAATTGTTTTCTATGTCTATGTTAAAAAAAAACGTTAAATTGGGAAACAAATCTTTTTTTCTTTTGTGCTCGCCACGCGCAGAGCATCATAGTCTCCGGTGGTCTCGAAAGACAGTCATGTTCTGAAATGATCGGCCGATATTTTTTCTGAGCCACCCTTTTATATCATTCCAGTGTAAGTTTGGTGTGGCCGTGTGGCCTCGGCTGGACGAGCGCTGGACATTTTTCCTCATTTCAAGTGAGCAGCCGAGCCTTTTCTCTCCCGTTCCGGCCCGCCTCTGTAATCGTCACAAGTCACGCTACCCGCAGCCGCCTTTCTTTTTACAGAGAAGTGCTTTTACTTTTTTTTTTTCAAAATAATCCGGCAGAG